AGCTCCTGAGCATGGATCGAAGAATATGTCGTAACTTTCAAACCGTAAGTCGGAATTGGACGAGTTATATATGAAAATCGCCTATCTCGATGAGATGGGGCTATCCGAACCTAGCCGAAGGCTTCGGTTCGCTTCCTCCGTTTCGCCAAATTCCTTACGGTTTGGGAGATATCTGCGTTTTCCCCTTTTTCTGCTATTTCGGGAGAGATTTTAGCAGTTTTGTTCTAAACTTCTCTGATAAGGATTAAAGGCAATTTTTATTGCCTACACAAGCATATGGGGTCCACTTTGGCCTAAGAAAAATAGCTAAAAAAATTCTTCAATGTGGGCTATATTGGCCCACTCTTTTCAAGGATTCATTTGAGTTTTGCAAAACTTGTAACCACTGTCAGCTTTTAGGGAAAGTCACTAGAAGAAATATGATGCCCTTACAACCCATCTTATATGTTGAACTTTTTGATTTGTGTGGTATCGATTTCATGGACCATTTTCAAATTCCTTTTGAAATGTTTACATTCTAGTAGCCGTTGAATACATATCAAAATGGGTTGAGGTGGTAGCTTGCAAAACTAATGACAACAAGGTCGTCGTCAATTTTTTGAAAAAGAACATTTTTGCATGGTTTGGAGTACCCCGATCGATCATCAGTGACAACGGTACACACTTCTATAACTGTTCTTTTGAGGCTTTGATGAGGAAATATTCAATCACACGCAAATTGTCAACTCCTTATCACTCTCAAACCAGTGGTCAAGTAGATGTCACAAACAGGCAGATCAAACAAATCTTAGAAAAAATAGTTAATCATAACAGAAAAGATTGGTCTGTAAAATTATGTGATGCTCTGTGGGCATATAGAACAGCTTTCAAGGCCAATTTGGGGATGTCACCGTACAGACTCGTGTTTGGAAAAACTTGTCACCTACTAGTGGAGTTGGAACTTCGAGCAATGTGGGCTATAAAATAGTTAAATTTTGACTCAGACTCGGTAGATAAGAACAGATTGCTCCAAATAATTAAGTTGGAAGAAATTCGAAATGATGTATACATAAACTCAAAAATTTACAAAGAGAAAACCAAGATTTTTCATGACAAATCAATTTTACGAAAAAATTTCTCTCCAGGATAAAAAGTTTGACTCTACAATTTAAAATTGTATCTTTTCCTAGAAAATTAAGATCGTGATGGACATGTCCATTTATTGTCAAACAAGTTTTCTCGCATGGGGCTGTCGAGATAGAAAATCCTAAAAATGGTGATATTTTTAAAATAAATGGTCAACATCTTAAACCATTTTTAGAATTTTCTACGCTTGGAGAGGAGGAGGTGTTGGTTCTTCATGAACCACATTATCTGTAAAAAATAATAATAAAAAATGAAATTTCAAAAATGAAAAAAAGAATAATTATAATTTTTCTCTCTTATTTGATTTCTTCATCCTCATACTAACAGTAATTGCAGATCTTTATCATCATTGTTCTTGGTCGACTGAACAAATGTAAGTTCTTCAATTCTTATCTGCTTTACTTTGTGCATCAGTGAATTTGCATTGAGGACAATACAAAATTTAAGTGTGGGGTAGGAATTAGTTATTTTTTCTTTTTATTTTACCTTTTTAGTTGCATTTTTTGTCAATTTTTTTCTTTTTCTTAAAAAAATTATAAAAGTATTGTCACTTGTCAAATTAATAGAGTTAAGTAATAATTGATTTATTTGATAAATTTTAAATTTTCTAATCTCTAGTTTGTTATATTCTAAAGTCCACCTTTTATGATAACTCTAAATAAATTTCTTAAGAAATAATTTTTAAAGTAGTATACGTTACTTAAGCCTTAACTTAGACTTTTAATTAAAAATAATAAAAATTTTGCATGCTTAACTTAGAGTAAAATAATTTTTTTAGGTTGTCTTGATTTTCATATTTTTCAAACTATATATATACTCTTGAATTCAAGGTGATTCTATCTTATAAAACCTAAGTTGACCGAGTAATTAAGCCCAATGAGTATTTCTATACTTAATGACCTAAGCCCAATTGAGTTGGGATCCATTGGCCCAAAACTCGTTAAATGGTCACTTAGAAAGCCCGTTAAAGTAGAAAAAAATCATCAAGGAAGAAAGAGTTAAAAAAAATACTAACAAATATTATATATATAGTTATATTTGTATATATGGCCTTGAAATTTTTTTTTGATCAAACAACTTGAAAATTATTTAAAACAAAAAGTTAGCATGTTCTTTTCAAAACTTTTAAATTAAATTTCCAAGTTTGCCTTGATTTTGTATTACTATAATGAAAAGATTTTCTAGGAGATTTACCTTGGAGTTATATATAAAAACGTTTTCTTGAGTAATAACTAGCTTCAATTAGAATGTCTAAATATATCAAAGAAAAATAGTTATTTACTGACATCTTTAATTTGACATTTTGACTGAATTTTATGGGTATATTCACTGCAAACCCTCACGAGACTACAACTCGTCCACTAGGATAACCTAGGGGTTTAAAGGCTTGTTGTATGTGCTAAATATAACTGCGATTCCTGCGAAAGTGAGTTAGGTTTTTTTTTCTTTTTCTTTCTTTGCTAGAGGACTAGCAAGAGTTTAGGTATAGGGGTATTTGATAATCATATTTTATTACAATTTTATACTCTCGTTATCTATTTTATATGAATAAATATACCACTAATAATTGTTTTTAGCTTAGTTTGCACATAAATGAATAAAAATATAAATAAATATTATTAAATATAAAAACCCTCAAATTTTCTCTTCTCTATTTTATTTCAGAATTGTGAGAAGCCTATGAAGCTATGAAGCCCATGAAGCCAAAGAGAAAAATAACTCTTTAAATATTTAATGAATTAATGAAGCCCAAAACGCCAAAGCCCATGAAGCAAAACCTTACCTCTTGTACGTATTGTGAACAATCCAAAAATCAAGCCAGAAGCCCATGAAGCAAAAGCCCAGAACCAAAACAATGAAGCATGAATCATTAAGAAATGAAGCAAAGCTCAAAGAAAAATCAAGAAACCCAATAGAAAATCAACAAGCAAAAGACCCAAGAATCCAAGCCCAAAAGCTCAAAGGTTAAAAATAATTCCTTAGGGCTTAAGTGGACATTTCCCACCAATTTCAAGCCCCAACCCTCTGGAATAGCTGTTTGGGTCAAAAATTGTTGTTTTCATTATGATTAAATCTATTACAACTTTAATCGTTTATAATAAACTCAAATAAAAAAAGTTGATCTTTTTATAAGATCTCCCTATACAATGAAATACAAAAGATACGACTCTTGTCAAACAGCGCAACAGACGTTTATCACCCGCTGCTTGCGTGGGATCTTTGCCTGTGCCGGGGACGTTAATATCCGTGGACCGCCTCGGATCAGATCCGGTTGACAGATTGGTGATCAATGCTCTCGCTTCACGAAGGAAGTGATTACAGTAGCGGTGATTTTAACTAAGCAAAATCACGGCTCTTCTCGGGATTTAAGACCAAGCCTAAATCCGGAGGAATAGGGGACGGGTCTCAGATCTCTCGAACTCCACTCTTTATGCGCAGGAGATCGCCAATATCTGCTAACCCTTGCTGTAAATTCGTGGCTCCACTCTCCAATTCGGCAGCGCTTCGCCCTCTTGATCTCCTCTCCTCTGAAAAATGAACACTAGAGCTCTTATTTATAGGCTTGGTTGATGGTTTCTTCAGCTCAAAACGAGGGATCCCCCTATCTTTAGTTAGCCACTGCATAACCACTGTATCAGAGCAGTTGGAACTCCCAAATCCGAAAGAATCCATAAAAGAACCGAAAAAACTAACTTTTGGCCGAACAGTCACCCGTGGCTCGGCCTTGGCCGGGCCACCAAATGGTGGCTCGGCCTTACGCAGGCCACTTGGTTCGCCGATTTGGTGGCTGGTGAGTACACGGGCCACTTGGAGGTGGCCGGTAAGTGTATAGGCTATTTGGTTCACCGTTTCGCTTCATGTGTTCATCGGCGTCGGATAATCCTCTTAGACTTAGATAGTGGCGTTCATCACCTTCTCTCTGTCTCGAGCTGTGCATGGATACCTATAGGCATTTTTAGACGCCTACAATAACATTTCTTAAAAATCTGACGTGGAACCCCATTTCAGCCCCCCTTTTCTTTAAATCAACCTGCGAACCAAACGCCCGAATTGGAAATGTGTCGAAACCAAAATCCAATATGACACTTTTGTCAGTTTTCAAATCACCGATTTCTCTATTTTTTTGAGCAAACAAACATCCCTTAAAATTAGTCAAATAGAGGATGTCAAGAAAACGTGTAAAGATAGGAAAACTAAAATTTTGAGAGTAAGAATTGGGTAATTACAATGAAAATGGTTATTTTTTGGGTTATTTGTGGCGCGCATATATATATATATATATATATATATATATATATATATATATATATAGTATATATAATATATATATATAATATATATTAAATCACGGCATTTTGGAAAAACCCTCTAAATCTCGGTGTTAGCAAACTTTCCTCTCAAATCATCAAATTTTTAAAAAATTATCGCAAAATCAATAATCATCAACTTTGGTAATCTAATATATAATTCCATGTAAAAATTATCAACAAAATTTGGATCGATTTACATCAAATTGATGATTTGTTGATTTTAAAGGTATTTTTTCACAAATTTGATGATTTGAGGGGTGGTTTTACATACACTAAGATTTGGATGGCATTTTTGCAAATACCCATGATAGGGTATTAATGCAAATAGCTCTTTTTTTGGATGGCTTGTGTGCAGAGTAATTTCTTTGAATTTTTGTCATGGTTAAGGGGCTGTTTGTTTCACCCTTTTATAGAATAGGATTAGTAATTGGGCTCTGACAGTGGTATTTTCGTAATTTTTGGATTTTTTGTGAATCCTATTCTGAAGTTTGGCTCAGCAAAAATTTTGGGATTACCATTTCTATAAAGTAGCTACAGTTAGCATTTTTTATAGAAACCCAAATCCGAGCTTTGGGTGCGGATTTGGGCGAGATTTCTGACAGGGTCGATTCCGATTCCTCATCTTCACGAATTCGATCCCTAGATCTGGAATCGCTGTATCGCTCCCGCCTCATCGCCCTCTTCTTCGCGCCTCAGCTCCCGCGCTTCGTCTTCTTCAACTTGGGTTTGGGCCTCTTTCTCGAAACCCAAGTTTAGTATTATGATGGAAAATACCCTCGATCCCTTTCTCTCTCCTTCAGCTTCCTTCAAACCCCAGAATCGCCGGCGAGCTTCTTCGAGGACGAGTACCATACGCCTGTTCCAGCCTCGAAGAGGATCCGGTGCTCCGCCGCCCTCCAGTTCTCTCCGCCTCCGGCCTCGGTCACGTCACCACCTTCGACCGTTGTTTCTCCAGTTGATCGGCTTAGGGCTCTGTTTCCTGATATGGATGAGGAGGTAATATTTCTATGCCCGTCCTTGAATTGTTGTTGTGTTTTTCGTATATTTACTTTTGATTGGATATGAAGTAATTTTGGTGGTGATTATTTTCTTTCACCTTCTTTGAAGATGATGTAAAAGGTTGCAACTTTGGAAATTTACTCGATCATATTCACATCACAGTAAAAAAATATCGTATAGATAATAATACTAGTAATGACTATTGATATTTAAGTATTAACTCGTTAGAGACATTTAATAAAATTACCCTTCCTGTTAAAACAAAGGCCATTTGGTGATGCTACTGCAATTAGTGTAAGTTTTGTCACTCTTAAGAGTAAATTTTGGCTAAGTATAGGAATTTCAAATGATCATCCTATGCATTAACAAAGGCCTTTAGCAATAATCTTTAATATTAAAAAATATCTTTTTCTTTAGGCCCGATTAGGTTGCTGATGAAGATTTTGGGGGTATGTCTTTGTTCTGCCTTGCATACTTGTCCACTTCATTCAGAAGAAAAGGAAATCTAAATCAAAGTTTGTAAGAACCGAAACGGGGAAATCTTTGAAATGATGGTGTAGTTGGATATGAGAATGCAACCTGGCTCATCCAAGTAACTCTTTAGATGTTATAACTATAAGACCCCATAAGACGGAAGTAATAAATTAAAAAAAAATTTAGAGAATATCTCAGTTTGGATGCTTGCATCTGTAATTGGCGATATTAGTACATAACGACAATGGTGACAACTATAACAACAAAGCCTTTATTCCGATTAATTGGGGATTAGGGGACATTATACAGGCTAAATTTTTCTCTTATTCTATGGACATCTGAACCAATGTGAAGGCGAGCTTATTTCGTAAGATAGTGATGTTAATTTTAGTTCCACTTAAAGATTTAATGTAAAGGCCGAATTGTCAATAAACTTCATGCGCACGGAATTCATGTATGTTGAATATCATACTGATTTTTTCATATATGTCTTCCTACAGTCAGTTCCAAAACTAACCAAATGGTCTATATCAATTAACAACTAGTGTCCATTTTTTTCCCTTTTATATTTAATCATTTTATCTGATTATTATTAGCATTATTTTCTCTTCGAAAATGACAATTGCTATTTGAAACACGCTTGTCAACCTTTATTTATCTTTCTTTATGTTGTAACATAAGCATATTGTTTGATTTCTTACAATTGATAGTTCACTTATATTTTCTGTCAACATTCTTTTAGTTGCTCGCGAAAGCACTTGAAGTATCAGGCAATGACTTGGACATTGCGATAAAGAATTTAAATAATCTCCATTTGGAGTCAGCGAGGGCAGAATTAGACTTTGCTGAGAACAACAAATCTAATGTCAGGACTGAAGCGAATATTTGGTCATCACCTGAAGGTACAAATCATGCCCCCCACACTTATATAGTGTTATACAGCTATAGTATATTTTGTATTTATTTCTTGTTTAGTTTCTTTTCTCTTAGTAAGCTGGTCTCTTCTCCTTATGATAGCGTAGGATTTTGACTAGTTGCTTGTTTTGAGCTTTCTGCAGCTCATGCTGCTGCTGCTGGGTGGTTTGTTGCTGGTTTGTTGCTTTGTGCAGCATTTGCTGCTGCTGGTGGTGGTTGGTGTGTGCTTGTTTTGAGTTTTCTGCAGCTCATGCTGCTGCTGTTTCTTGCTGGTTTGTGCCTGTTTTGAGTTTTCTGCAGCAGTTGCTGCTGTTTCTTGCTTTGTGCAGCATTTGCTGCTGCTGCTGGTTGGTTTGTGCCTGTTTTGAGCTTTCTGCAGCTCATACTGCTGCTGGTTGCTGGTTTGTGCCTGTTTTGAGCTTTCTGCAGCAGTTTGCTGCTGCTGGTTGCTTTGTGCAGTATTTGTTGCTGCTGCTGGTTGGTTTGTGCCTGTTTTGAGCTTTCTGCAGCTCATGCTGCTGCTGCTGGTTGGTTTGTTGCTGGTTTGTTGCTTTGTGCAGCATTTGCTGCTGGTGGTGGTGGTTGTTGTGTGCTTGTTTTGAGCTTTCTGCAGCTCATGCTGTTTGCTGTTTCTTGCTGGTTTGTGCCTGTTTTGAGCTTTCTGCAGCTCATGCTGCTGCCTTTGTTTGTGCAGCATTTGCTGCTGCTGCTGGTTGGTTTGTTGCTGGTTTGTTGCTTTGTGCAACTGATGCTGCTGCTGCTGGTTGGTTTGCCTTGCCTGTGGTTTTCATTGCACTTGATATGTGGCAATGATGATGATCAACGTTTACTGAGAATGCAACCTAACTTACATCGTTTATTATATCCAGATGAGGCAATATTTGAGATGAGATTGCAGCCTACATTGAATTGGCAATGTCTAGGCCAGGCAATTCATCTTTATAATGCAATCTGTAATAAACATGTTTAAGTTATAGATGGGCAATCAATGATGACAAGTTGATCTATTACTGAGCCATACAATATCAATAAGAATTTGTACCCAGTTCAAACAACAGTTTTCATTACATCCTCAGTAGTTTTTGCAAGTACAGGTACATGACATGAAGTTTGTAATAATTAAAATAACACAAAAAATTGCTAAGAAAATTGCAGAAATTTTCCAAACTAGTAGTTGATTTTCGACAAGTCTCAATTCTTTCTTCAGCTTCTTTGATTGCAAAATATATTTTTCTCCGTACCTATTTTCTTTGACATATTGGCTTCCTTGGTTGCTTGATGACTCTCCTCTTTCTTCAGCCCATTCGAAAAAATTGCATTCTTTATTTGGGAATTTTGCACACCCCCAATAACACCTACCCTTATTTTTACCATTCTTGCACACTTTCATCGGTGTTCGGAGATGGCAGTCGCAATAAACTTCATAATCCTGCCAGCACTCTTCTGATATCATTTTCATGTCGGGACAGCAAATTGAAGACAATGGGAATTTTATAAATGCTGAAATTGAGAATGTTTGGATTAATTGTGAGGCCTCAAGGTGAATTTATAGCCACCATGGTCCACTTCTAGCCGTTGCTACAGTGTTCTGTCTATGATTTTTTTAATCTGAATTTTTGAGTTTGAAAAGAGCCGTTGCTACAGTGATTCCAGCAAAAAAAAAGAAAATACGGCCTCTTCTAGCCGTTACTACAGTATTTTTCAAATGGTCAAGAGGCTTGCTGTTGCTACAGTATCTATTCCCAAAAAAGAGACTTTTTGAAGCAAACATGGTATTAGGAATTGGACCAATTCTATAAAAGTGAGATTCCTAATCCTTTGGGTGAAACAAACTTAGAATGCCAAAAAATAGGATTCCATAAAACTATAACATGTCTATAAAAATTTTATGGATTAGGTTGGAATCCATAAATAAAATAGAATTCCTAATCCTATTCCTACCCTCTATTGAACCAAACAGCCCCTAAGAGTACTCTCTTCCATTATTCTAATTTTAATTTGCTTATATAATTGAATGATAACCATGTACTATTTCACAAACAAGTTATAGTAAAGATAAAAACTCAAAGAAATAATTAAAATATTTGACTATATACGACACACGCGTGCATCCCATCTAGTATTAAATACAAAAACATCCACCCTTATTCTAGTCCATTCTCACTTTTTTTGTCAATTTAAAATTAGGATAAATCTCATTACCAGAGCACTGAAGCAAAACTCATAAAGAGAAAGGAGAAAAATCATGTGTTAGAACCCGAGAGATACGTATAAGATGTGGTATATACACATTTGTTTAACAAAGTTTGCTTATCATCAGTTTTTAGTTAGCCCGAAGGACAAACTAGTCTAAAATATGTGGTTATACATAAAACTGTGAGTAATTAGATCATTGGACCATAAATTTATGTCATTATTAAACATTCATACTTGTATTTTTAATTGCTTGAATGATCGTTTAATCATGTAATAATTGGATCTATAGTTACTTCTAACGTTTTTCTGCCAATATGACTTGTATATTTTCATTTATTTTCAGATCACACATATAACTTACTCAATATGTTCCAAGTTAATACTTTCAAAAATAAAATGTCAAACGGTAGCTTAATTATCTAATACAGGCTGCCTAGTATGTTACAAATTTTCATTTCCATGATAATTTAGATGTTATGTAAAAAGAATTTCGTTGTGGCAAAAGATGAAGACCTTTTTATACCACGTCAATGAGCATACATTATATAACTTGACAGAAAGCTTAGATGTGATTAACAATCCAATTAGTATTAATTATTTAAGCACAATATAATTCCTCTAAGTCAACTGGTGAGTAGAGGCATGACTGATAATTTGGGGCCCAGTTCTAAATTTGGGGGAAGGACAGGGAGGTGATGGATGGTGAAGGGGGAAGGTGGCGGAGGAAAGGGAGGAGGCGGCTTGGAAGGTGGTTGCTGTCGGCGGGGAAGAGAGCTGGAGGTGGTTGCGGGTTTGGATCTAAGAAGTGGAGCGGGGGAGGAGGAGGAAGGTGAAGCGGCG